AGAGAAAATGATGTTCAATTCAACAGATAGCAAAAATAGAGCGAAGCAAATTTGTTCACGTGTAATCATAAGACTTATTACCTCTCGTAAGCGCTGCTTCACTTATTACCTGCGAGTAAATGGGAGATACTTTATATATCGTGTATCTTCCTACGCAGCATCGAATCTGTTACGTTTTCTCTCACAGTCACATAAACTCCTTTGTAAATAATAAATGCAAATAATAAAAAAATCAATTTTTAAAAAGACTGGAAAGAATAAAAAATAATTTACCTTAATGAAAAAGAAGTACTTTATTAGACGGGAACGTGTGTAAGAAAAACTGTTTATTAATTTTAAATTTATCATGGAAATGGAAGAATATAGTGAAATTCCGATGAGAATATCTCCGACGCATTAATATTTCTTTTTTATTTAATCAGTACTTCAATCTTATTAGACAAGACTCTTTTTCTCAACTCTTATAGATTTTCCATTTTTTTAAATTTAATCACAGGGTTGGAGTATATATCTCGTAGGTTCTTTTCAGATTTTTTTTTCTTCTTCTTTTCTTTTTTTATTGTTCCTATTGCTTTCTTTTTCTTTTTTTTTTTTTTTCTTTTCATTCGAGACCGCGTTGAGTAAAAGTACGGGGCCTAACGGTACGCTCCTTCGTAAGGTACCGTGTATTCTCGACGCGATACGTAAAGTAAGGCGGGCACTTTCGAATTGCATAACCGCGGCCCGCGCCTTCATTCGGTTATGTCAGAAGAAAGCTGCCGAGAGCTGCCTGTCTGGGAAACGTAGATACGGGATATTGTAGGTATATACGTCCACGTACACACGCACACATTCGCACGTCTCTGCGTCTGCTTCTCTTTAAACGTTATAAATAAACGCGCCGGTTTCTTGGCCGGCGGGGTACCCGAATGCCCTACTCATCGAAAAGCGAGGGTACCTCGCGCGAATACACATCTTAGAATTCAAATTGAGCAAGTTCAACGGTATTCTATGAAATATATAAATAAATGAAACTCCTCAAACACCTCTTGAATACTCCACCACCCAAATTCATTATATTTATACAACTTTACAATCACGACAAAAATCCTCTCTCTTTCTCATCTCTTAATAAATTATTACAAATATTCTGAATATAGATACGATTATTAATTCCCAGTTTATTTTAATATTAACAGTTTTATAAATTCCGTCCGTTCTATTTCATTAATTTTCATTAATTTTCATTAATATCACTGAGAGAAATTATATTGTTCTTTTGATAATTTATTCAAATGTGAGTAGCAATATGATATTATATTCGTCAATGCCTCTTCGTCAAGAGGTGAATATGTGATTCTGTTAAATAACAAATAAAACGAAGTCATATATCTCTGCAAAATTGTATTTGTAGTCAAGATAAAAGCTTTTATTCGATTTCTAAGATGATGTTGAGCAGAAGCAAAACAAATTCAAAGACATACGGAAGTCATACGGGTGCAATGCCGTCTGTTTAAATTCTACTTGTTTGTCTAAACGCTATTAGCTTCAAAGAGGGAGGTCAGTCTTCCCCTAATCGACCTGCTGCTGGGTACAGAATTCACTGTAAAATACCATAAAATTGTAATAAAACATGTGTCAACACTGCGCATTCAATTTGATTTGTAGCCAAATTTACATATATTTTGTATCTTTCCGATTTTTTGACTTCAGGTATACATTTCTTTTCTCTCGCTCTTTCTCTCTCTTTCTATTTTTGACGAATGTGATTCGTTATGTCATATACAGGGGAAGGAGAAAAGAACACGTTTTCTTTCTCATCCCTCTTTCTTTACCGCCGATGGTCATTTCTCTGGTGGTCTTTTCTATAAAGAAGGTCAATAATATAAATCGACTGACCATTTAACAAAGCAGTGTCAATTTGTAATGTTAAAGAACCATTATTACCATATAGATCATATAGATCATTGAACTGATCGCAAAGAAATCCGATTTTAGATGTCTTCCGCATTGCGTAAAAATGTCCAGGTGAAACAAATCAATGGATAAAAAATGGGGCTTACAAAATCATTTTACTTCGTTTCTTTTATATTTTTTTAGTATTGTACAAAGGAACCTCAATTAATCTTTTCATCTTTCCAATTGTATGAACTATTACGTGAATAACCCATTATTTAAATTTCGACTTCAAATCTATAGATAAAAAAAGATTTATTAATGTTGCTAATTATAAATTTAGATAAATATTTATAAATAAACATTATATAAAATTATTTGTCGTATATTCTTAATTTATAAAAAGGCGTAATTATGTTGCGTATATTTGCGAATGTTTGAATAAACAATTTGCATTATAATTATTTTTTATAGATTATATAAAAATCTCTTACATTAATAAATATATAATTAGACGTACGGGACGATCTCGTACGTCTATATTAATAAAAAGCAAAAGAATTTATACTTTCTTTTCCATATCACTTACAAATTTGCATATGTTTTGCATAACACGTATGACTGAAATTGAGAAATGCAGATAACAATCGTTAAATACTTGGATGTTTAATTCAAAATGGAAAATTTTTTAATTACTGCGTTGAATTCAAATCAAATAACTTTAGCATCATTAAATAAACTATATATTTTATTTGGAAAAAACATATTTTATGTTACACAAGTTGTTGATTGTGAGTGTAAGATAATAACACAACGTATTATCTTCTACATTAATTACTAAGTCGATTATGGGTTAACACGCGCACACGTGCAACACGATAATAGCGTGAAACTAAAATGTTGCCTTATCATTAGCGTTACTGCCGTAGCGAGACGCTATTTATGGCGTGCGACAATTCCTTATGGCGAATTTTATCACTTACAACGAAACTCCTTAATCACGTTTTGTTAGAATGTAATCTATTGTATTGCGCTAAGTTATTTTCCAACTTTTATAGGAACATTGCATAACGTTCGCTGCAGAATTGCAAAGTATTATATAAGTAAGCTTTATATAGCTTTAACATTGTTGATGTACACTTAGATAATTAAATTAACGTAATTTTAATTTCAGTTTTTGAATTAAAAATTTTATGAAACTAACACAAGTATTTAAGAAACGAGTCTCGATGTTTTAGGATTTATTTTACGTTAATATTACGTAATACATTGCGAATAATCTTTGAACAACGTAAAGACTTATCTTGCTAGAAAAACTCATTTGTTATGCACGAAACAAGTTGATTCGTTACAACGTGCCAATATATGTTTAATGGATGTATCTTCATTATATATGTAGGAAAAGTAAAAAAACATTAACGTAACAATGTCCAGTCGCATAACTTTGCAATGTTACATATGAAAATTTCTTAGCCAATGTTGCACAAACACGTTACAATTTGTTGCTTATGTAAAGTGCAATTGTATGCATGACGAAGCAATGGTAAAATAATGGACACTCTTAGAAAGCGCTTAAAGAAGAATTGCGCACAAAATATCTATGCCGATATTGTAATATTATAAAGAGGAGGTCATCGTAGAGATAGCGTAAAAGCAACATTGTGAATCTTATCGCTGTCATTAAATTTCTGAACTGCAATTTGCATAAAGTAGAACGGCCATGAAGTTCGGCACGTGTAGTTTATAAAATATAAACGGAAAATTTTTATCGTTTCTCCATTCTCTTTCGTAAAGTGTGCTTGCAAAAAAAAAATGAACAATATCTTGGCATATGTGCCTCTTTACATGTCATCCCTCAAAATGTGCGCGGAACAGCCGTTAGTTTAGCTTCTTCGTGTCTAATCCGATATTTTATCGGTGTATCGTATTTTAATAAACAAATTCAGAATAATTACATGGTCTTTAACTTAAACGTATATATTTAAATCGAGTCTTTTTTCGTCAGGTTGCGACAAATTTTAGGAACATATTGTCTGACGTACCGAAGCTTGTATTTGCGCAGCTCTGTTTGCCTAAATAAATTCTTTCCAGTTTGCAGGAACTTGTTTCTTTTTTTCTTTTTTTTAAACAAAAACACTTTCCCTCGATTTCACGTTGTTCCTCGCAACGCGCAGTTGTTGATTGACGCAGTCGGTATACGGTAAAAAAATGATAATTTTACGACGACGAAACGTACCGCCGTCGCGGTGTTTCACGATTGTGTAGTACCGGTCGTAAGATCACGCGCCGCTTGATTACGAGACACATTTCCAGAGCGATAGTTAGGTGCATGCATTATGCGTGCGCGCGTGGCCACGGTATAAGCGTGTTCCACGATTGTGAGGAAATAGGTCGTCGAGAGCTAAGACTTGAAGTTACGCGTGTACGGCGGGGGATGAGGAAGGGAAAGAGAATCACACACAGTTTGTCTTCTTTCTCTTCAGTCAGGCGAGATTATTTGGTTGCTTTACTTGCTCGCGACGTTTTAACGACCGTTCCAGAAATATTTCGTCTACTCAGTCAGTTAAATTCGAATTTATACCTTATTGCTTAATCCTGATGGTATCATCTCGCATGAATCATCCGAATACGAACACACATGAATTCATCGCTAACTCGATTAAATCAATTATCCAAATCAGCTTATCCAGTGCAATTTAATTTTAAAGATCTGACTTTTCGAATTTCATCTCAAACGAGATGGACGAGATGTAATTATCTCTTCGAAACTGCTAGTTTTTTTTTTTTGTATATAAACAATGTATGTTTAAGTATTAACTTTCTTAATAATTCTTTCTAAATTTATTAATTGATAAACAAAATAAACATAGTAATCTGTTAACTGTGTAACAATATATCTAACTAATATCGTATCGTATCGTCACAGCTGCATTGACTTTTTATAGATAAAACAGAAATTTCTTTTTTAAATCTATTTTATTGTAAATAATAATTTACAAGATTCGGTATTTCGAAACGTTCTTATTGTCTACATCGATTATAAGTCATTAGCCCCTTTATCACGTTGACGGATTAACAAATTCAACAAACGTGATTCGTGCGCGCAAGTCACCGCCCTCGCGGTCGTTAGAAACGACGATTGGCGGCCGCAATAAAAGTACGTGAGACTATCGTGCGCATAAAGTGGGTCAGAGTGCTGACTGGGCTGGTGTCGAAAAGAATCGAGGGACGAAATGGGTCAGCGCCGGAAACGCGATGTCGAAACGTATCGCGCGCCTAGCCGCGCTTTCTTCGCGACCTTCCTCCTCGTCTATAAATACGCGTGCGTGCGTGTCCGTGCACCACACACACACACACACACACACACACACACACACACACACACACACACACACACACACACACACACACACACACACACACACACACACACACACACACACACACACACACACACACACACACACACACACACACACAGCGCGTGTCACACGCGCGGACGCGCGCGAGCTTACGCGGGTGTGAAATGTTTCTTCTGCAACGATTCTTCGGAAATAGGTTGACAACAAGCGACACAAAAGTTATATATTTTTAATGGCCGAACACCGATAAACTTCCGTGCGATAAAAACCACACTTACAAAATTTAGGATTTCCACACGTGCCCCTAAAGATAAAAGTCTCAATTCGGCAGATTGTTTGAAAATAAACCGTTTTGAAATGGGAAACTTCCAATCATGAGAAACTTGATAATATTTTATTATTTTTATATTTAGTTTTTTATTAATACTATGTGATAATATTTTATTTTAGTTTATTTTATTATTTTTATTTTAGTTTTTTATTAATACTACTTATATGACTCTAGTTTTATACTGGTTTTATTCGTCATTGCACTTGTGATGAATGAATCATTGATCACTAATTACAAAATGTAATTAAATATTACTAAGAGATTGTTGTTGTAATCGGATTATATAATATATTTCCATCAGAATAAAGAAAAAATAAAGTATAGGAGTATAGGAGTATATTTCTGGAATTGCAAAGAGAAGTCTGAAGGAAATCCAAGAGAAATCTGCGCTATGTGAATCTGTTCATTTCCACTGCACGGAAGTAACATCTGGACATTTATTTGGTCCTTCAATCTGTCAAAAGGGATGGAAAAAATTTTCATAACACATCCGCAAGTAAGTTTGATATAAGAAATCTAACAGAGAATCCTTCAGCCGTTTAGAAAATCGTAACGTCGTCATTGCGCGTTTGAAAGTTGTACAATTTTTGCTGACAAGGAGCGATATTGTTTTCCCTCTGATACGCAATGAATATCGTTACACAACGTGCGGATGATATTATTAGTGACCCGTCTAAATGATCGCTCGGCAGCTGCCTTTGCCAAACGGTCAAACGGTCTAGGCGCTTTCTTCCCGACCTTCCTCATCTATAAATAAGCGTGTGAGCTTACGCGAGCGTGCGTTTATGCAATTGTACGACGAGAAATAGGTCAGGCCAACGAGCGCGATCCTATTTCACTTTTTCTTTGATCGGCGACGTTCTTCCACTTTCTGATTTCTTGGCGAAGACCAGTATGCTTCACGGGCGAGCGTTTTCTACATGCGCGAACGCAACGTTAAATAACTTGAAATTAATCAATACAAGTATCAAATCAAACAAGTTTCTAATCATCTTTTCAGATGATGCGGTTTAGATGTTTGATACATTTTATTTCCTACAAATGTAAAATTATTGATTATTATTTTATCTTCAAAATATATTACTTTCTCCGTTCCTTTTTTTCTGAAGAAAAGATTTAAATTATTTCAATCCACAACAGAGTATGATACTGATAATGACAATGTTGATAGGAAAATATTGCTTTTACATTCTCAATATATATATATATATATTTTTTTTTTAAATACATATATTTACTAAAATTATCATATTATCATTATCGTTATGAAATTCTGTTATTGAATAAATATTAATATTGAAAAATTCTTTTGTGCAACTGACTGGTGCGATAACTGGATCGTCGTTCGAGCACTGATAAAGAAGTCACTCGACGAGAAAACAGATCGACGAAGATCTTTGGGCCGCGGAAAATTGGGGTCGCAACGTGCTTTCTTCTTGGCCTTCCACCTTCCTTGACTCTACTTATGCTTCGTCTTCATCGTTTCTATAAATAGTAGCTTGCACGCGCTTACGCTTGTGCACGACAACTGCGTGAACTGAGGGACACGCGTATTCACGCACTGTGCGCAGTTGCGACAGACTGCCCGATTACGGCAGGGCCGT